CGGTTGAGCTATAGGCGCCGAGCCTGTGCATTATCTTTAAATAATCATGTATCACCCACACTAAAGGCCACTCCTTTGTCCAAGATGACTCTATTTCAACAATCATCTTGTCAGTATTATGTTCAATACTGTGGGTTTTCTCTGAGCTATTTTACAACCTAATAAGGCAGCCTTCTATTTAGTATCAAATACTAGTCTATTTTTTTTTGTTGTTTCTTTTTTTTTGAGACAGAGTCTCATTATGTGGCCCTCAATAGAGTGCTGTGGTATCATAGCTCACAGCAACCATTAACTCTTGGGCTTAAGTGATTCTCTTGCCTTAGACTCCCAGTAGCAGGGACTACAGGTGCCCGCCACAACACTCAGCTTTACTTTTGTTGTAGTTGTCACTGTTGGTTAGCAGGCCCTGGCCAGGTTTGAACCCACCAGCCCTGGTGCATATGACCAATGCCCTAACCACTGAGCCATGGGCGCTGAGCCTTTGTTTCATTCTTGATTGATAAGAAATGGATGAGGACATGGGAGGAACCTGCACGTAATGATGAGAGAAAATTGGCAAAAAAGCTCTCACTTGGGTGGCGCCTGTGGCTCAGTGGGTTGGGCGCTGGCCCCATATACCAAGGGTGGCAGGTTCAAACCCGATCCTGGCCAAACTGCAACAAAAAATAGTCGGGCGTTGTGGCAGGCGCCTGTAGTCCCAGCTACTTGGGAGGTTGAGGCAAGAGAAATGTCTAAGCTCAAGAGCTGGAGGTTGCTGTGAGCTGTGACGCCACAGCATTCTAGTGAGGGTGATAAAGTGAGACTCTGTCTCTTAAGAAAAAAAAAGCTCTCACTTGACTGGCTAGACTGAAGCGTGCATATCATTTTGACATAAGTTCCCAAAAGGTGCTGCAGCTCGGCTTGTTTCAGCAGTGGAATCTGAAAGTCTGGTGAAAAAAGCTAACTTTCAGGTGGTGCCTGTGGCTCAAAAGGGTAGGGTGCTGGCCCCATATGGCAGAGGTAGTGGGTTCAAACCAGCCCCAGCCAAGAACTGAAATAAATAAATAAATAAATAAATAAAAATAATAAATAAAATAAAAACATTAAAGTTTTTTAAAAAAGCTATTTTCAAGGGAAAAAACTATTATGTCTTGTGTATGAGGTATGGCATAGCTGTTTCTAACACTAGGCCCCATTTTCTACCTCTCTCTCACCTGTCAGTACTGTAACTTTTATTGCTACATGCTTTTAAAACAAACTCTGCTGCTTAGTCCTCAACCTATTCTTGATGGTCAACTAATAGGAACATTGAGACACAAGTCCTCCATCTCCCAGTCCACCAGGAAAAGAAAAGGATTGTATTTCCTTATACTGGGTCTTCATTTCTATTTCATGACTGTGTACAATGTTTACTTTAACCTGATTATATTTCTACAGATTATCACATTATTAAGTCCAAAGGCAGAAAGATTCATGTACAAAGATGTTTCTTACTATATATAAGAACAAAATGAAAATCTAAATTATTATATGTCTAAATATTTTTCTATCAAAAAATACTATTAGAGCTATTAAAACATTTTCAAAAAATTTCATATGACATTGAATAATTATATACATACAGAAAAACATCAAAATGCGACAGAAGATCCTTACAAAACTCTGCACTTACTGACTTGCAAGGTTCTTGTTGCAGGAGACCTGCTAGTGGCAGTTATCTATGAATGGTAGGATTACAAATATATAAATGATTTAATGCTCTCTACTTTTATTTTCGAAATTTTCTACAATATACATCTATTACTTTCACAATCAGAAAAGAAATATGAACTTGGCTCAGCGCCTGTAGCTCAAGCAGCTAGGATGCCAGCCACATACACCAGAGCAGGTGGGTTTGAATCAGCCCGGCCCGCCAAACAACAATGACAATTACAACCAAAATAATAGCCAGGCATTGTGGGGGTGCCTGTAGTTGCAGCTACTTGGGAGGCTGAGGCAAGAGAATTGCTTAAGCCCAAAAGTTTGAGGTTGCTGTGAGCTGTGATGCCATAGCCTCTACCCAGGGCAACTTAGTGAGACTCTGTCTTTAAAAAAAAAAAGAAATGTGAACTTTATGGAAGAAGAACAACAGTATCATTGCTGTAAAGATATCCTTGGTGCAAGAGGATCTACACAAACACCTACTCCTGAGGGGAAAACTGATTAATCAAATGACATAGCAATAGCACTAAATGCCTAACACAAAAACTCCTGCTCCACAGAGGCTTACATTAAGTTTAGAGCAGGACTAAAATGACCATAGGTAGTATCAAAATACCTCTCTCTCCTCAGGGGGAAATAAGTATGATACCTGCCCTTCTGCCTCACAAGTGAGCAAGCACTTCAGTCAGAAGACAGAAGAGCTAGTTTTTCAGGTTCCAACACAGTTCAAAGTAGAGAAGATTCATATACCCATACCTATAGAACTCTTCTTGAATGGTGGTGGAAAGTTGCTGGTTAAATTGTTCCAGGTCCATAAAACTCACAACCAAAGTGTTTCTTTCAGGACGAATTAGCTCCTCTGCTAACTGCAAGTACTTAATTTCTCCATCACTGCTCTGGAACCTGTGAATACATGCAAGTCAGACTAAACTGAGGAAACAGAAAGGAATCCAAATGCCTGATAATTCAGTATATTGGTTAATGATGGTCAGTGAGACCCATGTTTAGTTCTGTAACAGGGGGAAAATTATTTATCCCCTATAAACATCTCTTTTTAAAAAAGAAACACAGATTATGACATCATTATATTTTATAAAATCGTCATGAAGATTAAATGAGAGAATGCTCACAGAAAATTTGCACAATATGTAGAATATAGCAAAAATGTGCCTTTGGTTTTTTTTTCAGACAGAGTGTCACTCAGTCAGCAACCTCAAACTCTTGGGCTCAAGTGATCCTCTTGCCTCAGCCTCCCAAGTAGCTGGGACTATAGATGCCCGCCACCATGACCGGCTATATTTTAGAAACGGGATCATGTGCTTACTCAGGCTGGTCTTGAACTCCTGAGCTCAAGCAATCTGCCTGCCTTAGCCTCCCAGAGTGCTGGGATTAGTGTCTTTGGATTTTAAACTAAATTTCTTGATCTAACATTTTCCAAGCAATAAATACTAACTGTTCTTTTATTATTGTTATGTATAATTAAGATTGGGGCTCAGCGCCCATAGTACAGTGGTTACAGAGCCAGCCACATGCACAGAGGCTGGTGGGTTAGAACCTGGACCAGGTCTGCTAAATAACAATGACAACTACAACAAAAAATAGTGGGGCTTTGTGGCAGGTGCCTGTAGTCCTAGCTACTTGGGAGGCTGAGGCAAGAGAATCACTTACGTCCAAGAGTCTGAGGTTGCTGTGAGCTGTGATGCCATGGCACCCTACCTAGGGAAACATAGTGAGACTCTGTATCAAAAAGAAAAAAAAAAATTAAGATCGGAAAATGTTAAGTTAGGAAATGCAGGCTAAAATCCAATGATTTGGGCAGTGCCTATGGCTCAAAGGAGTAGGGCGCTGGCTCCATATGCCAGAGGTGGCAGGTTCAAACCTAGCTCTGGCCATAAAACGAAAACAAAAACAAAAAATCCAATGATTCAATTTCCATAGGGAAAAAAACCTGAAGGATCAGTCACAGATTTAAAAAGGAAGAATAAAATTAAGAACACACAGAAATGAAGTACTTCACTGGCTGAGAACTCAGGAAAATGGAAACACACACTACATAGTTTTTTTTTTTTTGAGACAAAGCCTCAAGCTGTCACCCTGGGTAGAGTGCTATGGCATCACAGCTCACGGCAACCTCCAACTCCTGGGCTCAAGCGAGTCTCCTGCCTCCGCCTCCCAAGTAGCTGGGACCACAGGCGCCCGCCACAACGCCTGGCTATTTTTTGGTTGCAGCCGTCATTGTTGTTTGGTGGGCCCAGGCTGGATTCGAACCCACTAGCTCAGGTGTATGTGGCTGGCGCCTTAGCCATTTGAGCCACAGGCGCAGAGCCATGAAGTTTTATTTTTATTTTATTTTTTCAGACAGTCTTATTTTGTCACCTTGGGTAGAGTGCCATGGCATCATCATAGCTCATAGCAACCCCAAACTCTTGGGCTTGAGAGATCCTCTTGCCTCAACCTCCTGAGTAGATGGGACTACAGGCTCCTGCCACCATGACCTGCTTGTTTTTTTTTTTCTATTTTCTTTGTAGAGACGGGTGTCTCACTGTTGCTCAGGCTAGTCTCAAATTCCAGGGCTCAAGCAATCCACCTGCCTCAGCCTCCCAGAGTGCTAGGATTACAGTTGTGAGCCACTGCTCCTGGCGTTTGGTATTTTCTTTCTTTTTCAAAAGGACAAAGGTGCCTGGCTCATGCCAGTAAATCCCAGCACTCTGGGAGGCTGAGTTCCAGACCAGTCTGAGCAAAAGCAAGACCTAGAAAAACTGAGGCAAGAGGCTCACTTGAGCTCAAGAGTTGGAGGTTACTGTGAGCTATGATGTTATAGCACTTGACCCAGGGCGATAGCTTGAGACTCTGTCTCAAAAAACAAAAGGCCAAACAGAATATCATATAAAAAACTTAGTTTCCGTTCTTTTAACATAATATACTGATTAGTTTTGAGGAAAAAAAATAGCATGTTCTTCTAAATATTAAATAATGTCTACACGCAAAGCACTGACAAAGGCACCTGAAGCTGAAAATGGTAATGCTGTCCCCACCTTAGGGTTGACAATATACCTGGCTTGTCCAGAGAGAATATAAACAATACAAGTAATAAAGATGTTCCTTGGCTTGGCGCCTACGGCTTAAACAGCTAGGGTGCCAGCCATATATACCTGAGCTGGTGGGTTTGAATCCAGCCCAGGCCTGCCAACTTGAGGCTCTGTCTCAGAAAAAAAAAAAAAAGATGTTCTTAGTAACATGAAATGTGGTAAGGTAATATAAAGTAATTTTGCTTACAGGAAGAATATAGAATCATATATATGAAAGGTGGCACTGGAATTCAGCCTCTGAACTTGGAAAAAAAAATAGGTGGTGGAGAGAATGATTAAAGATGTTTCCAAGTACATAGCCAAGTCAGAGAAAGAATGAGAAGAGTGTAGATGATCACTGAAGCTGCTTTTGGAAGATGAAACTACAACGAGTGAAGAATTTGAACTTTATTATCATAAGTGATGGCAAACTAAAGTTGATTTTGTGAAAAGTATAGGGACTATTTGTCTTATATATCATTATCCCTAGCATCTAGCTGCAACAAGGTAAAGTGAAGGCACTTACATTATTTGTTGAAATGAAGCATTTATTGAGGACCTTTATAATGTGATGTGGTGGCTAGGAGAAGATGGATAGGATTCACATTCCAGATGAAGTGGCTGATAGTAAAGATATAAGAAGTCATAAGGGAAACATAAGGGAAGAAAGGATTTGTGCTGCC